ATTAGAATAGTTTTTTTTACATTTCCAATTACATATTGATCATTTGTCGCAGAATATAAATTCTTTAAATTTTTGAGATTAAGATTAAAATATATAATTGATTTCAATATAAAAAGGGCGCACCAAAGAATGCTGCACGTAGGCGCCAGATACCCCAGGAAAGGGCCTACAAGTGTATAATGGAATCGATTTATGCTGTTATTAATTTCAGTTTAAAAGTAATCTAAATACAGAATCGTTTACAGTTTATTCGTGTCGATGTGCTTGGGCGAATATCTTAGCTCACAAAAGAACAACCAAAAACAATAAATACAGTCTAAAGATATTTGCACCAAACCTTCAACTTCGAGCCTCGAAAGCAGAACCTTAGTACAGGCGGTACTGCTTCGCTAACCATGTTATCAACAGATGATGAAAACTTAGTTCTGAAAGAACGCCTGCTTCTGCTGATTATACTACATGCTTCGCGAAACGCCCGTCCAGTACAAAAGTAAAGTGTTTTGGTGTATTATGACACAGATTGTGATGAATTAGTGTTTTATTAACATTCACAACTCTTTTCGAGTGCAATTCGAAAATGAACTGAACAAGTTTATAAAAGTACAAGCAGAAGTTTACTGTGTATACCTAAAATAAGTATGATTAAAAGGGAAATTCCCTGGCAAAAGCGATCGATCAAATAATCTGGATGGAATTATTCTTTAAATTTTACCTGGTAATAATTATTGCCTAATTATATACTTTTGATAAACTCACGCTATGTTTGAGTAATTGCTAAAACTACCCATTTTCAACCTTTACTAGCACGTAACTTGGTTAAATTTATTTTTAATTTCTTCTAAAATTTAACCACCGTCTTTTGTTTAAACCTTTTTTGTCCGTTTTAAAACGTATTAAGTTATTATTTATATAAAAATCCAATTTAAATGAACAAATAAATATAATTTAAGCAACCTTAATTACGATTCTTTATACACATGCTCGGTAACGAATACGGAGACATAAAAAATATTTTCATTATATTATTTCAAAGAATAGTGTTTTCAAATAGTAAATAATCCCATTTAAATTTAAAAAAATTGTCGTATTTTCTTTATACAAAGGGTAAATAACTAAAGGCAAAAAGTAATAGAGTTGATTACTTTTTGAAAACTAAATGAGTTTTTTATACAGGGTCCGACAATAGTGCGTAGGGCATCTGTAGCTCATAGAATAAAAAAATTGCGAATTTTGTGGAAGTGTAAACCTTAATTATGTAAGAGGATGTATTTCAGAATAATGTTTTAAAAAGTGTGTGTGGATCAGGATTATTTTGAAACTTTTGATGTAACACCCTGTATATTATCGCATTTTTGGCTTTCTTTCAGATCACTTTAGATAATCCTAAGATATTTCTCGATAATTTGAGAGATACTAATAAATAAATAAAAAATATATGTTTTCCAGCCTTTCTTAAAAAATTATTACAAATACAATTGTCATTTTATATGTAAAATTATATGGGGAAGGTCATCGATCATCAATTCCAAGCCAACTGGGCGCCGCGCCGTTACTAAAGCAACGTCAAACGTAAGCTAATGCACTTAAAATGTTCAACTCCAAAACAATTAAAAATTTGCCATATAATGTATTGACTGACAAAGACATAATATAAAAAATGTCTATACCTATGTGGCGGATTCATCTATCCAAAAAAATCCTTATGGTAAAAGTATAAATAAGTATAATATTAATTATTTTAATCTTATGGTGAACTAAGATCCATACCAAAGTTATATTTTTTCTTATGGAACATCCGGTATTTTATTTCATTTTTGGATTCTTGGGCCCAAAAAAAGACATTTATTATAAGGGTTAAACATGTTTAAAATCTTTAGTTTTTGAGATATTTAAAGATATTTAAATTTGCATGCTACTATAGAATAGACTATTAACACCCTGTATTTAGGTTTAACGCAGAAGTGTTTACAAAAAATAACTATTTTATTTTGTAGATTTTTCTTGCAGTGCAGTGGCGAAAAACCCATAAGGATTTTTTTGGATAAAGATATAATATGTCATCAGTTATATACAGGGTGGCGCACCTCATTCGCCTCGGTTGATTATACGAAAACGGAAAGATGTAGAAACAAAATATTTTAAGGGTATATGAGGGGAGACAATGTGCACAATTTAAAATTATTTTGAAATATACAGGATGTTTCAGAACTAAGATCCATACCAAAGTTATATTTTTTCTTATGGAACATCCGGTATTTTATTTCATTTTTGGATTCTTGGGCCCAAAAAAAGACATTTATTATAAGGGTTAAATATGTTTAAAATCTTTAGTTTTTGAGATATTTAAAGATATTTAAATTTGCATGCTACAATAGAATAGACTATTAACACCCTGTACATTACTTTTCAGAATTAATTCTTATGCTGAGTTTAAAGGTAGAGAAATAAACTTTACTGAACAATGGTATTGGTTCCTTAAATTTATACAGGGCTATCAAAAGTTGGTGATCTATTTTAAGGATATATTTTATATAAAAACTTTGTTATTTCAAATATAACATCCTGTATTTTTTAAATAAATCGAAGCAGTTTCAAATGCTCTTTCAAACTATATTAGGGTTTCCTATACCTATCTAGGTATATCCTATACCATCAGATTTTGAATTAAAAGCGATTTTTAAATAAAATTGTAATCAAGATGGCTATATAGTGTCGCCATAAGAGTTTCTTTGAAAAACTTCTTGTTTCTAAAAAACCTATTAGGCAGAAGCCTGTCGTTAGAAGTGAAGAAAATGAATTTGCCATAATTGGCTCTTTTATAAAATATCCATGTATCTACAAGTCATCGTAAAATAATTCGAAGACTACTTCGTTTTTCTTCATAGAATAATAAACACATATTTAATAAATGTTATTTTTTAAACTATTGTAGGTAAATTAAATAAAAGTAAACTGGTATAAATTTAAACAAGTCCATAAACTAATTTCGATTTTGAAAATAGCTACTAACCGTCACTAGAAACTTGCCATGACAACACTAGCCATCTGGATTACAATTTTATTGAAAAATCGCTTTTTATTCAAAATCTTAAATATGTATAGGAAACCCTAATATAGTTTGAAAGAGCATTTAAATCTGCTTCGACTTATTTAAAAAAATACATAGTGTTGCATTTGTAAAAAAATACATAGTGTTACATAGTGTTGCAAAAAATACATAGTGTTACATAGTGTTGCATTGAAATAAACCTTTATGCAAAATAAATATTTAAAATAGACCAGCAATTTTTGATACCCCTGTATACATTTAAGGAAAGAATAACATTTTTCTGTAAAGTTTATTTCTCTACCTTTAAACTCAGAACAAGAACTAATTTTGAAAAGTAATGTACAGGGTGTTAATAATCTATTCTATTGTAGCATGCAAATTTAAATATCTTTCAATATCTCAAAAACCAAAGATTTTAAACATATTTAACCCTTATAATAAATACCTTTTTTTGGGCCCAAGAATCCAAAAAAGGAATTAAATACCGGGTGTTCCATAAGAAAAAATATAACTTTGGTATGGATCTTAGTTCTGAAACACCCTGTACATTTCAAAATAATTTCAAATTGTGCACATTACCTCCCCACATATACCCATAAAATATTTTGTTTCTACATCTTTCCGTTTTCGTATAATAAACCGAGGCGAATGAGGTGCGCCACCCTGTATATTATGTATAATAAATAATTAATTTCTTTAATCGCATAATATTACTGCGTTGATCTAGATATTCGCAGTGTATTCAAATATTTTTCATTATTATTTTTTTCCTTTTACAAATACAAATCGTAGTTAAACGGTATATCTACAAGTCAAGTGTCAACTAAAAATGACATGTTTAAAAAACAACGAAATTGTGGAAACGACGATCGTTGTTATACATATATGTATAATGGTGAATGTAATCAATCATCCAAAGTTTCCAAGCTAACTTGACACTGTTTTTTTTTTCTGATTGAATTAAATTATGTGTCAAATGCAGTCAAAGTCTATTTAATCATTAAGGCTTAGATCTTTGATTCCCAAAGTGGTTCACAGCACAGCGCAAATTTCCATTTTTAGATCTCTAATTTTCACATTTTTTGACAAGTTTTAGGAATATGGTAGAAATATAACAGCAGTGGGTTCACCAAAACCAGTAAAATTTTGTGTATAAAATGTGGCCTACTTAGTTTTAAATAAGTGCAAATATTTTTAGGGGTCAGTATATTTAGACCCCAGAAACACGATTATTGAGTTTTTTTCGCGAAAAGAAATTTTTGGAAATTTGGAATTTTTTAATTTTTTTTTAGTTTTTAGTTAAAAAAACAATTTTCCTGATAATATGGCAACATAGCTAGTAGATTAAATTTATAAGAAAGAATTCACGACAACGTAAAGAAGGTTCACAAAATTTAAGCAAAAAACATATTTGTTTTTTTTTTAATTTTTTAAGTAAAATAAGTCGGATATTTTGGACTTATTTGAAAAACGGTAAAGAGAAACTATGTTTCTTTCATCGAGATTTATCAGCCCTGAAAATATTTGCACTTACTTAAGACTCACCCTCTATAATAAAACTGATAAATTAATAGAAATTAGAAGCCGAATATAAGGCATGATGTTCACCACAGCGATTTTAAATTATTTTGCCTCCATTTTTCATCTTTTTAGAATACTCTGGGAAAAATTAATTAAAGCATAATTAATTATAACATATTTCTTGCCCTAGCTATAAAATTTAAATTTTAGACTTTTTTACTATGACAACCTTTTTATTATAGTTGTTTGAAAGCATAAATTTACGCATTTCCTTTTAGAACTCATTGACTATAATTGATTACCGTTTTGCGTCTTTCGATGTCGTTTCCCGACATAAGATAAAGTCATTTGCTTACGCTATCCTGCAAAATTTCCCGGAAACCATTGTGTCTGCTAATGGATTTTATCATGTTTTTTTTTTCCTTTTCAGGAAGATGTATAGAAACAGGAATTTTTCTCTCCTCTTCGTGCTTGTGACCATAAATTTCCTGTTCATTGGTCTGGCGAATGCCGGTAAGTAGAAAAAGCGAATTTGGTTTGTTTTAACATGAAAAAAATGCGTTCTTTATGTTCTTTAATAAATTAATATGGTTGAAATCGATTAAAACGGTTCGTTTAATTAAGAAATATTTGTCGATAGATACTTATTATTATGTTAAAAGCTTCTTCTAAGCTAATGTATGGTAAATCCATTGAATAAAAAATTTATGGAGGAAGTTACATACGATTTTTAAATTCATACATTAAATTTTAGAGAAATTAAAACATCTCTAATTACTTAATTATTATAATAATATTAATCTATACTAATATTTCTTAAATTATCCAGAATTATTAAAGAAAAAATCTATACTAATATCACAGATAACACATAATCAATTATGTGTTATCTGTGCTAATATATGTATAAAATCCTTAAGTGACTCACTTCACGATCAACAATCACAATCCTTCTCAAATCACTCAACGTAAGACGCTCAATTTTGGCATACAGGTTGATTCTAGAGTGTAAAGGTTCGATAAGAGGGGATTTTTCGAAAAATCCAGTTCCAAGGGGGTGAAACCACCCCTCAAATATTACAATATTTTTTATTTAAAAAACAGTCAAGTTTCCAAAAAAAAAACGCTTAAACACGTCACGGTGCTCCTGAATGGTCGGCAGGTTTCTATTTAGTGACAGAAAAAAGTATTGACATATCTTGAGTAAGGACACCTTCCTAAAAATATATCTAATAAGCTTTAAATGGAACCTGCTTCTTACCGTGTTTTTTAAGTGTTCTTGTATTTTTTAGGAAAATTGTATAAAAAATTTAGTTCTATGATGGTTTATTTTATTGTGTAAGACGCTGTAACAGCGTTTTCAGATGGAGCGGAGCGTCCCCGACGGACCGTCCGCGACTTCGAGCAAGTACCATGAGTTTATATGAACGATTTCACATGGGTCGCGTATGCTCCGTTCGGATGAGCTATATTGAAAAAACATCCGCGCGTACGGTCCGCTCCATCTGAAAACGCTGTAAGTAAAAAATAACGTTCATATCGCAAAAAAAGCCGCGACACGCATCAAAGATCGCCATGGTCTCGGCATAAATGAGTTTTCTGTTCGCTGTTTGACGCATTGACACTATATGGATTTATTTAGTCTTTGTTTGTCTCTGTAGTGTGTTCAAAATCTAAAAATGAAAACTAACCCAAATTGCAAGTGCGACCACGAAGCTAATAGAAAAAAAGTGTGTGCAAGGTGCGGTAAAAAAATTATTTTTGGAAAATCATACTTATCCGACTTTAGAATTTCTAAAAGTTTAAAACATTGATGTGTAAATATTTAAACAAAAACTTCTATGAAAATGATTCAAGATTTCCAGTGTCAATATGTACGTCCTGTCGACATTCACTGAGCGAAAGGAAAAATAAGACTGAAGTCTATATGAAACAGCTACCAGTAATGACGAATTTCGAAAGCATAATTGTAAAAAAACACGCGACTGAAATCTAGTGACGACTGTAATTGTTTTATTTGCAAAACAGCTAGTTACGTTGGGCACAAAAAGAAATATAGTAACTTTAAATGCCCAAAAAGTAAAAAAGTTTGTAGTAAATGTTTACAGGTACTTGGGAAAGGATTACCACATAGATGCTCTGATGTTAAAGATGCTCTGACGTTAAAAATAAAGCTTTGAGTGTTATACAATCTCTAGAAGACAAAACAAGAGAGCAAATTGCTGTTAAAATAATCAAGAATAAAGTTGACGCTGAAAGAGCATCATTAAGTAGTTCATCCTCTTATGAAAATGCTGTCACTCTAATAGGCGATTGAAGCGTAGTGCTAGCCACATTACCTTCCTTGTATACCGAACGGCTCTAGCATGGCAAGCTGTACCTGGCTACTCCCAAGGCGTTAAACGCTACATACGGCTATTAAACTTAACATACGGAGCTATTATTATTATTAGAATCAAATTTAGAATAATTGTATAATATTTTTTTCTATCTTAATATAGTGTTAGGAAATGTTATTTTTGTGTTAGTCATCAGATATTTTATTTATATATAATAGAAAAAAGTTATGTCCTTGAAGCTTACCAATAAAATAAACCCTCATAGAATTTAATTTTATATACCATTTTCTTAAAAACTACAAAATCGCTAAAAAACGCAGTAAGAAGCAGGTTCGATTTAAAGGTTATTAGATATATTTTTAGGAAGGTGTCCTTACTTTCAAGATATGTCAATAGTTTTTTCTGCCACTAAAGAGAAACCTGCCGACCATTCAGGAGCACTGTGACGTGTATTTTATTTTGTTTTTTTACATATTTTAAGATTTATACAGGGTGTTTCGAAAAATCTTGTTATTGATTTTAATCACAATCCTGCTTAAAACGCTTGACGTAAAAAGCTGATTTTTGGAAAACGGATTGACTTTAAGGTTCGATAAGAAGGGATTGTTCGAAACTCGAAATAAGTTCGAAATTCTAAGGGGGTGAAACCACCCCTCAAATATAACAATATTTTTTTTTTTATTTAAAAACCGGTGAGTTTTTCGGAAAAACTCTTAAAACACGTATGTTTTATTTTGTTGTTTTACATATTTTAAGATTTTTTAAAATTTATACAGGGTGTTTCATAAAATATGACCATTGAGTAATCACGATTCTGCTTAAACTGCTTGACGTTTAAGCTGATTTTTGGCAAAGGGATTGACTGTGGGGTGTAGAGGTCCGTTAAGGAGGGGATTCTCGAATCTCAAATTCCAAAAGGGTGAAAACGCCCCTCAAATATTACAATATTTGTTATTTAAAAAACGGTCTTTTGGGAAAACGCTCGGACACGCATAATTTATTTTATTTTTTTACATATTCTGAATTTTTTTAAAAAATCATACAGGGTGTTTCAAAAAGTTGGGTAATTGATTAACCACGATTCTGCTTAAACTGCTTGACGTAAAAAGCTTATTTTTGGCAAACGGATTTTTCAAAAGTCAAATTCCAACGAGATGAAACTACCCCTCAAATATTACCAAGTTATGTAATAATATCGCCATATTGTTTTTTTCTCATGCTGACATAAATGTGAGAAAATTTTATCCAGTTTGTATGTTAATGGAAATGCTTGCTTTGCTTTATCATCGCCGTTACAAATGATTAATTCGACGCGAACGAAGTCGCGGGTACATGCTAGTTATTATAATTATAATATAAATCTCTATTTTTAATTGTGATTTTCTGTAGCCATTTTTAGTTAATTATTTTAAGTTATAATTAGTTTTCTGCAAAGCATATAAATCTCGAAAAATATTGAGTCAGGCTCCAAAAATTGTTACCACTGTGCAGCATATAATATCATCGTTCCTAGGCTAAAAACATGAAAAATAATAGAACATTTCACTTAGATATTAGTATCACCTAGGTAGTAGGTAATTAAATCAAGTTTTTGGTCTCTTCCGGTTTCCCCGGAAATGACTACAACTTTTGATTTTTAAATGGCACCCTGGGTTTTTTACATTATTCGATAGAAAATGACATTCTGCATAGAATGTCATTTTCTATATATACATATACAAATTTTTGTTACGAACCGCAAGTTATAATTGCATATAAACCATATGCGAAAATGTCAAAAGTTGACAATTTTTGACAATTCAACTTTTGACATTTTCGAATATGGTTTATTTGAAATTGCAACATGCGATTCATGAACGACAATTTGAGTCAAAATGCCAAGTGTGTGGTTCCAAATTATTCCTAAAAAAATGCCTTATCCAAATATGCTAATGATCCAACCTCATTCTATTAAAAAAAATTGAGATATAATAATTAAAAGTGCGATTTGGACATCTTTTAATCGGCCAGGACAAGACTCAAATCAAAACACTAGACGATCAAATCCGTTTTTCCAATGCTCCATTATTAAAAATTAGTGTTTTTAACACAGCCATAGCACTCTAGATTGAACTTTAAAATACAATTTTGTTTTAAGCAGAAATGTCAAAAGTTGACATATGATATGACATTGTATTCAGAGTGTCATTTTCTATCGAATAAAGTAGAAAAATACCGAGGGCGCCATTTAAAAATCACAGGTTGTTGTCATTTCCGGTGAAAGGAAGTGGCCGAAAAGAATTTAATACGTCAATCAATCCTAATTTATGCCTTATTATTATACAAGGCTTATACCAATACTAACATACCAAATCTCGTTTTGTTATCTGAAAAAATAAAAAAGTAATAGGAGTGAGACACTTTTGAGACGCAGCAGGTATATCAGTAAGGAAAAAATAATAAAATTCATTCTTTAAATCTTTCTTTTAGGCATTTTTGGAAAAGCATAGATAATTTCGTTACATTTTTTAACCTCTATTTTTTTAACAGAAGTACAAAATAATGTTTCGTTATTTTAAAATCTAACTTACAGCATGGTTATATCATAGCTACACTAGCTGACTGATATAAATCGGAATGTTGTTTTAAATTTGTTACCGTCTTTACAGGTGCTTTAGTATAACCTGTAAAACGGTCATAGCGTAAAACGGCAGATAGCGAAAGTACAGATTTTTCTTCTTCTTTCTCAGCATGGTATTATACAGTGTTGGACATATAGGTCTCTTCTAGCTTTACAGATATTCTATTCTATACGACTCTAGCCATTATCATCTATTGTCTTCCTGCCACTGTTTTGACTTCATCGACCCATCTCATTTTTGGTTGGCCCACACAGCCCACACTTTTTTTACACTGATACAAATGACTTCTTATTACAAGACAACATATTATCTTGGCCATTGATTATCTTCAACTAAAGACACATATTTAGTTGAAACTCATCTATTCTTGCGAAACGAAATTTCATGTTCTTCGCAATATTTTCTAATTATCTTGATTAATTAAGTCCTTGTTTTGAGGCAATCGTCTTTAAGAATAAGATTTTTGATTTATTGGTTTTTGTCTAAAGAGTACGTCCTTATCCCAAACAAATCGATAGGAGTCGCCGCGCCGCGCCGACGCGTGTCTCTGTTT